TTATGCAGCTATGTGAGGGAGCGCGGCCGCCGGCTCTGCAGACTGGGGGCGCCAAAGGGGGGGGCTTCAGGAGTCGCGAGGATTAAAGGGAACCCCTATGGGGAGAAATACGGGAGCCGCCATCGCTGCCTGAGAATGCCGCATGCCTGGCTGCCTCTGGATTCAGGACTTTGTGACTCGGCTGAAACGAGCACAATAGGCACATAGGGGTACCCGGGAATTTTTGTAAATCATTGAGATTGAGCATAGTGGTGGGCAGGGCTGTCCCTTTAAGGACGCAGCAGGCTGTTGCCTCGGGGGGCATCTTTATGGGTCACGTTGGGCATGGCGGCCCTGCTGTACAATGTTTGCAGCGTGCCTGTGGCCCCCCTTTATGGTCAGTGTGTGCCAGGCGGGACCGCACACACCACGCAACCTGGGATGCTCTGGCCGGCATCCCGCTCAGCTCCTGGCAACCAGTGATGTCACTAAGGCGGGTCGCCGGCAGGGGCGTCCCGAGGCCGGGTGTCACCCAGAGCGCAGACCGGGTGACACTCCGCCGCGGCGTCATCGAGCATGCGCGGTCGTCTAAGTGACGCCTGCCGGCGGCCATCTTAGTGATGGATGCCGGCAGAGATAGGAGTGGGCGTTCATCTGGCAGGATGAAATATGCCGCCGGGTCCCCTCCTCTCTCCTGATACTGTCCGGCGTTCGGTCCATGACAGTGTGCCCGACTTTTTAGAGGGGGTGACACCAAAATGACTGTCAGGCATTTTGGTGTCACTCGGGTGCGGCCGCATCCCCCTTGTGATGCCGCTGGTCAGAGCCAGAGCTGGGCGGGGAGATGATGCAGAGGTCACTCCCCCTGCCCCTTGTTAGCGTGCACCACAGGCATCCACCACCTAACCCCTCCCAGTGCCTTAGGTGACTAAAGGGCATAGTTAGGGGCGGGGCTAATAGCACCTACGTGCATCGCCCTGTACCATATGTAGTGCTGATGGTTGTGGCTTAGTGAGCAGAGCAGACTCCACCTCTAGCACCTATCCCGCACCCTCGCTCTGTCTGGCCGTCACTCCTGTCTCTCAGCAGGCAGCCGGGGAGCCGGAAACCTAAGCAACAAGTGATTGTGAATTCATTCTGACTTCCTGTGTGCTTGTTCAGGGTCCGTGACTGAGAGATTGACGGGCAGTAGGGATGAGCTCAAAAGGAGGAAGTGCCATGGGCACTTCCAACCAATCAGCTGCGGGCCGGGCATTCCGCAGCTGGGTGTAAATGTAGGGGCGGGATTCTGGCGCTGATGTCATTTGCCTTATATGGACACATTAGGTCATCAGCATCGGCCACATTATATGGTCATATTAGGTACATGTCGTTCACCGACTGTAATGTGACAGCCATTCCTGCTGTGTGGTACAAAGCAATCCCTGGCTGTCATTCTGACAGCGGATAATAGCGGCGAGGGTGGGGGGAGGGGAGGTGAGCTGGACATAGGAGATACGTCCTACAAACTTCATTGAAGTATTTAAGGACAGATCTCTTCAATACCCTCAAGTGGTTAACAATTAAAGGGACACTACAATGCTTTGGGCTATGTATATACAGAATGCCGCTTTCACAACATTACCGCCACTAGATGGAGCCGAGTATAGGAATTTCCGATGTTTCTCAGCGCCATCTAGTGGTGGAAGTGTTATGCGAACGACATTCACCCAGCTATACACTGGGAGGAAGATTCATGAATCAGCCCCTTATACTTGTCCCATAACGGAACAATTCATGCCGGATATATTTATTCTTAGAGTCCCCTGTATGTTGAAATGATTGGTATGCCCCCTGACAATGGCGGGTGTGTCCCCTGACGATGATGGGTGTGTCCCCTGACGAAGATGGGTGTGTCCCCTGACAATGGCGGGTGTGTCCCCTGACGATGATGGGTGTGTCCCCTGACGAAGATGGGTGTGTCCCCTGACAATGGCGGGTGTGTCCCCTGACGATGATGAGTGTGTCTCCTGACGATGATGGGGTGTCT